AGGCCGATACCTACATACAGACCAACACAAACACATAATAAACGCACACAGACATCCGCAATGCCTCGAGGGAGATTCGAACCCGCCAAACCAGTGTTCGAGGGGGTGACGACGGTTCATGCCTTAGACCGCGCGACCACTGTGATCAACCCCAAGGTTTATTATCCTTTTGAATTATACCATGCTACTTTAAATAAAAATATTAATTTTATTTTTTAAAACCGTCACTACAATATGTTTTAATTTTTTTGTGGACTCTACGACGTACTCTAAACGCCATCATCAGGTGGTTCGGCACTGCGCATTACAACGTAGTATTGTCCTATACGAGTCGGTATATTCTGAAAGATCTTACGGCCTGTGAAATAATTTACTCAAAACTACCCTATTTCCGAAGAGCTTTATCTTCTGGGATATAAAGCCTTGTAGTCCGTTAAAAGTAACCCAAAATTTCGGAGGAGGATGTGGCCTTCATCTTTAGGGTCAAAGAAGAAGCCAAGCAAGAGACCCGAGTGAGGAAGATAGCAAGCAGAACCCAATCCTACATATTCCTACGCACACTTCTACCATTCACTGCGGTCTTTGTTTCATGCGCATTCCTTTCTAACGTAAATAGTTAAGAACCGAACCAAATCTATTCGAATGTAATATTAGTACTAAATTCATTTTTAGAGCCACTCGTCGGAATTTGAAATTGTAAACGTCAAATATACATTACGAAATTGGTTTTAGTGTTAATTGGTTTTGTCACGATCTTGTTTTGTTTTTGCTCTTTGTGACTTTCCTTATTTTATGCTTTATTGTTGAGTATTCTTAAGGACACAAGAGTTAGCGTCTTTCACTGGGCTCTCTCCGAAATAATAATATTATTTCTAGTAGTTACTATATGATTCTGACGTCCTCACCTGAGGACGGAAACAGATCCAGTTTCCGAAACGTCCTGTTCTTTTCTTAGTTATCTTAAAACCAAGACGATGGATAAAGTCCGAAAACCCAATATCTCTGAATATTTTTTCTGATTACATTCCCAGTAAATATTTCTTCCTTTTAGTTGTTGTTGCTGAGATGTGACAGGAATCCATGATCGCAACCTGCAGGCCTCTGTACTGCACGTCAGGTAGAAAGAAACAGCGACTTAGATACATTACTGCATGCGCGTCTGAATTAGTTTCTTATTGTCCCTCTTCTCAGTAAGGTCACGGAGATATTCCCTTCGTTTTTTATAAATCAAAGTTAGGAAAGAGGGCATTACAAATCTGCAAGGAGAAAAAGAAACCGAAGAGACGCTATGAAGGATATTCTTGAGCCGATATATGCACTAATTTGCCTATTCAGTAGATACAAGAAGAATGACCCGGAAATTTAGTGCACCTAAAAAAAACATCGCTTACAACCTCATTCCAATTTACTGGTTTTAGATGTTCGAGGTCATAAATGGAATAAGGATCAAAGTTGAGGTTTGGGAATTACATTATGAAGCCAAAATCTCACTCATAAGAAAGTAAGAGCTAACTAACATGAAGGAAACGACTGCCTGTTAAAGCGGTGTCAGCTTTATATTTCTTTATATTGTCGTTAAAATTATAAGCAAATATTATTTTGTTTGAAAACAGTAACTGGCTACTTTATGTAACAAATTACGATTGTGTCCTTGAAATTTTCAACTGCCATTACACAAGCGAGCAGATAATGCATGGATAGGTTTAATTCGACCTACCGGTATGAATATTTTTCTTTCCCGCAAGTTCATTTTTTTAGTAAAAGAAATATCACTTATTCATATTCTGAACCAGACGAATATAATCCACATTTTTCTACACTGCTTTCTTAAGATTTGTTTCAGTCAGTACTCAGAATTCATAATGTCCAAACTTAACATTGTGCCATAAAAATAAATTTTAATTAAAATATATACTAATTCTAATATCTGATTAATTACATATCTTCGATATTTAACATCTGGTATGATCAGAATTCAAATTAATGCAGCTGTGGTTCCTTTAATTAGAATGTACACACAGTATGGTTTACAGTTCTCATTTCGAGAAACTTATACCGAAGCAAATATTCTTGAAACTGTGGGGAAAAAGGCAATATACGAGTATATATACAGTACATACACACAGACACGCGCACTATACATATATATATATATACATGTACGTATCGAAAACAATCGGTGCATGGCACTGTCATTTTGTCGTTAGGTTGTTTCCATGGAAACCAAATTTAAAACTCGTCCCAATTTGTTACAATATAACCAGAATATATTTAAAAAAAGGACAGTGTTTAAAGTCTTCAGTCGCCATTACATTGTCGATCTTTGCTAAGAAACGTACCTCTAGGCTATTACTGGACAATAATAGTTGTTATGCCTGTTCCACTGCCCTGCTAGAAGTATTACAATTCACTGTTCGATTGTTCATTAAGATCATGATTTTAAAGTGCCCCTAAATTTCTATAATTTGCAAGAGGGGCTCCGCAGCTAGGGAAAGAAAATTTGAAATTTTTATCTGAATTTTAAACTGGAACCTCGCTAATTAAATTCAATAGAATAATTAATTAGGTATGCCAGTTTTTTCGAATTAGTTTAAAAACAATAATTTTTCCAAATGTTACCGAAATAGAAGTTCATTTCTTAATATATCAAGTTATAAAAAAGTACGTAAAGGTATTCCTGTAACAGGCCGTGGAGTCCCACAGGGTTGTGAGGTGTTGAGGATCCCACATTTTCTAAACAATCGGCTCATAGATGGCGGCAAGGTTGTCAGCCCTACGCTCCGGTCGCCCTTTACCCCCAAGAATATTCCTGGTACTCATTTCTGTTAGAGGCTGAATGGACTCCAGGGCCATATTGCAGCTTGAAGTATTAGGTTAATTGAAAAAATGCAATGACTTCATCGGAAATTGAACCCGCTACATTCCGGCTTGTAGCATAGTGCCTCAACCAACTACGATACCTCATGACTTCCATTTAATTACATCTTTACTGGGAATGTCTTCCTTAACGAAATGTAACTCTATGCGGTGCCATGAGAAACATAAATTTAAGCGCCCTTAAACGTAACTTTTGTCCATTCCGAATGCTCTGTAATCAGCACGTTTTAATGTGCAGTACTTTTAGAATGTGCACAACCTCAAATGAAGTATGTGGTGTTGGAGCTTCATACACACAACAATCACATTTTACTTACCAGAAATTTATCAGATGAGGAGATCCTTGCCAATTGTCTTGACGCCGTGTAGTTCCTGGTCATTAAACGTTACCGGATCTGAGAAAATATCTGAAGACTTAATCCTAAACGGTTCTGGCGATGGTGTATAACGCTTGGGGTTTCTAAGCTTTTGGGCCTTGTTCGTTGCCCGGTATTCTAAAGAAGAGAACTTGTCAGGAACTGGATTTGATTCCTTCCCCAAAAGAAAGGGTGGGAGGCACCTAACCTGTTTCAGTTTGCCTTTGAAACAACCACTTGCACATTATCACGCAGTGTTACACAAAATTTAAAAATACATATTAAAATTAAAACTGCGAAAAAACAAATAACTGTAGAAACCAGAACTACAACACACTAAAGAGATCGAATATGATTGTCCTACATTAACCGTAAAAGAACAGTTGGATATGGAGGGTGCAGAAGGCACCTCCCTCTGTCCACTGCGCTCACACTAAACAGACACTGACGTTGTTCCGTCAACAGCGTTGCATGGCTTTTCACAAATAATTTCCCCCTTTATCGGAAAGGATTTGTTACTGTAAAAGTGACTTACATAAACTGCGTTGTTAAAAGACAAGTTAGGCCTTTTAGAGCGTCACACTGCTTTTAAGAAATACATTTCTTTCTGAATGCAGAGAAATGTAATCTGTACGTCTACATACGCAAGCTCGAACTTTCGCTCTGTGTAGGAAATTCAACTTGTGACTGACTGAAGTATTTTTTTTGTACAGAGCTTATTTGCAGTTCACTGGTATAATAGGCCAACTAGACTATGATAAAATGTCATATGATCATATTGATATCCACGCAGACGAGGGGGAGGGAGAGATTTTTAAAATTGGAAATGTCATTGCTAAGTCATTACATCTCAGCGGCTAAACCCACTAACTACCATATCTAATTACAAGTTGACATACACATGGAATCAGGAAAGCGGTTCGTTTCTGTTTATATACAGCTCTACTTGTTTGGTGTACTTTCCATTATCCGGAGTTAAAAGGGCCAGTGACACACCGCAATTTGTGAATGTTTATTTTTGAAGTATATTTTTTTTCCTTGGCACTACAGCCCCAGTGGGCCTAGGCCTACCTCCATGAACTCCGTTCACTTCGGTTTTTCTAGATCTTACACATTCGGTAGGACTCCTTGGGCGGGTGATCAGCTCGTCGCAAGGCCTCTACCTGTAGACAAACACAGAAAAACGCACACAAACATCCATGCCCTGAGTGGGATTCGAACCCACGAACTCGGCTTCCGAGCGAGCGAAGACAGTGCATGCCTTAGACCTCTCGGCTACCGTGACGGGCTTTTGAAGTATATAACCCTTTGAAAATTAAATTTATCTGCATCATTTTTAAAAATACAGCCCCTTCCTCATAGAATACGTACTGTGAATCCATTACAAAACTGAATATGTTAATGCCACTTAGGAAAGTGGAATAATTTTTATTCTTGGACTCGCATTAACTCCATAGATGCCCTCTGTGTGCAGAACCTCTGAATATAAAGACAGGTGGTACATGTTGTAACCAATGTACTTCAAGTGGTCAAACGAATATCTCAAAATTGGGTATGAACGTTATGACACTGGAGATGATCCCAGCATTCAGCTCTTTTCATATCCAAAATAGAGCCCGATGGACGCGTGTATTTCTGAGGTGGAGGCAACACAAGTGTCATCTCATACCCTGTCCTATTTGACTGAAGATGATTTAAATGTCTGTATTTTTTTATTGTTAGTGGGGTGGGACTAAGTCCCTTGTACTGCAGCCACTTCTGGCCTATTGTACCAGCCCCAGATGATAGGTGAGGGTGATTGTGGAGCAATTGGTTGAATGAAGATTGGCAGGGGAAACCGAAGTACTGGGAGAAAACCTGCCCCAGCGCCACTTTGTCCACCACAAATCCCACTTGACCAGACCCGGGATCGAACCCGGGCCACCGCGGTGGGAAGCCAGCGACTAACCGCTTGAGCTATGGCGCGGCCTTTAATGTCGGTAACTCAGAGTATAAAATTTTCTAAGAACTTGGTAATTAAGCACTGCACCATGAAGACATATGAGGGAGTGCATGTATAGATCCAAGTTTTATTGACTTTGGCACTACTTTGAGGTGAGTGATCAGTTTCACGCAACATCCGCTTTACCCCCGGGGAGAGAATTCCTTGTACCCATTGGATAGGACGCTGCATGGACCCCAGAACCGGTCTGGACGACGTAAAGCAGAGAATTTTCTTGACCCTTCCGGAACTTGAACTCCGACCCCCTGTTGTCCAGCCCGTAGCTAGTTGCTGCAATGACTGCTCTGTCCCGATTCAGAATTCACGAGTATGTAGAATCCAAAGACTAGAAGGTAGAGAAGAGTACATTGAAAACATAAATTGAGATCTTGGATTGCAACAATTTCAACGGCAGGTTCCAACTTGCCTNAACTTATGCAGTCACCACGTGGTTGTTCTCTGTTAAGGTCCGTCCACATTTCTCGTGCTCGTGCGTCAGAAGCTTACTGCTGCCGGAAAATCAGGATCTGGAGCTGATATCTGTTATGAAGAAATGCGAAGGCTTTGTATGCAAACCAGTTTGGGTGTCCACTTCGTCAGTTCCAGATCCTGATTTTCCGGCAGCAGTAAGCTTCTGACGCACGAGCACGAGAAATGTGGACGGACCTTAACAGAGAACAACCACGTGGTGACTGCATAAGTTGCATATCTAATTAAATTACGCACGAATCAGAGGAAATGTGAACGGAATTAAAAGTGATAGGTCTGAGGTTCTCACAGCGGTATCTATGAAGACTGTTATGTTCAAGGATAAGGCGCCTTATAATTAGAGAAGTTTACTGCCTCCAACTTCAGGGTAGAAGAGTAAGAAGCACACAGATTTCATTCTGCTTGCTGTATACTGGTTGCCTACTCGGTTTCCTCTTCGACACAGAAGAACAGACTACACGGCGCTTGATCCCAGACGATAACATACTTCGATTTAAAGATGATTTCACACAAATTTTTCCACAGTTTTTATCGACTTATGTACAATACATAGACACAAATTCTGCTTGGCATGTTCCATAACTAACAATGAAAGTAACCACTCCTCACCAATCACCAGTTATAGCCGTTCCGCTGACCTAACGTTGTCCGTGAGGTGGAGAATGTAATATTCTAGTCACTTCACACATTCCCAGTTCCAATAGCAAATATAGTGTGGCCTGGCGCTTAAAAACCGGAATATTTTGAGCCAGAGCGGGCGTCCATTGCTAAACAACGGCCTGTTAAAACACGTGGCAGGGACAAGAAGCTGGAGGAGACCATTGCTGAGCAACGCCTCGGTATCTACCATTCCGTATCGTTGTCAAGGTGATAATGAAACAGCTTCACGCAACAAGGTATACATAACAGACATTAACACGGAACTGAAAGCCAGAACTATTGCAATTCCCGAGGCAACGAATACACACGCGACCGATGTACAGAACACGTGAAACTGAACCCTTGAAGAAGGTGTCTTCCAGTCCGTCCGATGTAGAATATACGAGACCTGTGTGGAGGCGGGGTCGAATACCTCCACCGTGACCCTGCAAATCGTAAGAGGCGACGAAAATGGAAGTCTCAAATCTGAGAGAGTAAAACGTGATCACGAGTCCCAAGGGACTCGGACCCAAGAAAGATTGCGCTGGAAAGGCCCAGCACATACAAAAGACAGACCCGTCCTCTCGTCAGAAAGGGCGTCGTAAGAAAACAAAACCGTAACTGTGAAACAATAATAAATTTCTGGTCATGAGCCGCAGATGGGGTTCAAAACCAAGACTTACTGAATGACTGATCGTCAGTCGCAATGTGAATTTGACTTTGACTTGACTTGACTTGACCAGACCAGAGCGGAGACCAGAACAGAGGCAAACGGAGCAGAGCTGAGAGCGGAAGAAACCAGCTCAGCCAAGAACCAGAAGACGAAACGTGAGAGGCGACGGACTAGTCAGGTCGCATCGTCTGGAAGACGCTATTTCAGAGTAACTGCAATTGTAATTGTAAACGACTTCTCCAATAAACAGCTTCGCCTAAGCCGGAACCCGTTATTCTCTTGTTGCGTTACCAGGAGACGCGACAATATTGAAAGTTTCTCTCCTCCGGGATGTGTCAGCAAGTCTCGTCTCTGCCGCGTTTCGAAGGAACATAGATTCTACTGCCTCCATCATCAGAACAGGAGAGTAATTTTACCTTTTCTGTAACGAAGGGTTTACGAACCTGCGAACTGCATACAGGGTAGATTTTGCATGGACTCATTCTATGTCAAATTTTAGGTGCTAACGGCAGAAATTCTGCGGATCATATCCCCTCTGGTTTGTGTCCTCAGGACACAGGTGGAACATCCTTCCGAAATTTATCAACAATCTACCAGATTACACGGGGTCACAACCCAGAAGATAGTAACCCTCATAGTCACAGTCCTGAAAACCTCAAACTTCGCATACCGTATTTCTGTTCTCTGTTCAACATTTCCGACCTTTGCGCTGCAACTGTTGACAATGTGTCCAGAGAGTCAGGTCCGTTGCACTCCTTATGTGTCATGCCATGAAGAAGTACGGGGAGTGAACTATATCTCCGACATAATTGACCTTGCCACTGAATAGAGGTGAGCGGTCAGCTTCACGCCCCTGCCGCTTTAGCACTGGAGAAACACCCCCCGTTACCCATTGCATAGGAGTTCAAGTGGGACTCAGAAGCGATATGGACTTTATGGAGAAGGGAAATGTCGCCCTGCAAGTAATCCAAACCCTCATCCCTTCTCTATACTTTCTGAACTATCCTTGTTCTCTGGTAATATTTAAACTTATCAAATATTCTTCTGTGTAGAATCTAAAGGATTCTGACGATGGTGTGTAACGCTTACAATTACTGGGTTTTTGGACACTGACTAACGTTCGGCATTGTAAAAACCAGAGAACACAGCGTTTCGTAATCTGGTCCTATTTCCGTCCTCATGTGGGAGGGAGACATCTAGTCTATTGTGTTCATTAGAAAGAAGTAACCTCAGACAGTGTCTGTGCGTTAAGCTTTAGGTTATAGGTTAATTTATTTCGTTATACTCTACATTCTTAAGGAAAAGTTTGTCCTCCAAATTACATTTTCCTTGTAACTATTACAAAGGTACTGGCTGTCACTTACTTTTAAGGCCCTCTACAGCTAAAGCGTTACAGAGACTGCAGTAGGGCTGGACGTGGTTGGTCAAACTCTCATCTCTTTCAACAGAATATAATCTCGACTACTGAAACAGTGTAAATAGTCTGTACCTCAAACCAGATGTCACGATAATTTAACATAAAAATTATCCACCTTCCTATCTGTCACTGACCTGCATATCGTCATACTCCTAAACCATTCTTCTCTCTTCAACGTCAGAGCTTGGATAGCTCAGGTGATACAGTGACTAAGCTACGGGCAGGAAGACAGAGAAGTTGAGATTTGATTCCCAGCAGTTTTACTTATTTTTATCACAACCATTTTGTCCAGAGCAGCCCTAGGGCCCGTACAGCCTCCTGCCCCTCAATGGCCACCGAAGGCGCTTTCACCGACAGGAAAACAGTGGCGGCAGCAATCTGGCATCTCACAGTTCGCCCTTCATACGTCTTCATGGCATGGTATTTCGTTAAACTTAGGAAGGATTCTGAAGTTAAACTATCTAGGCTACATTTTATTTTATTATCCCTTTTAACTCAGTCGCTGTAGTGACTGGACTATGGGCTGGTCGACCACGGAATCAAGATTCGCTTTCCAGAGAGAGAGAAAACCCGTTCCCTGTTCGTCACCGAAGCTCACCTGTTGCCTGTGTTACAGTGGTCAGCACGTAAGGGCAGTCACTCGCTGGAATGCAGTACGGAGGTTAAGAAAGCCAAGAGCATGACAGTGGGCAGTAATGCCAACACTTGCATTTCCTGTTGCTTTCTCCTTTTCTGGCAGCCAAATCTTTGACAGGAATGAAATTTCAGAAAATCAAGCGTTCATTGCTAGTACGCAATAATATTAGTTACTTCTCACAGGAAAGAGCTTAATGGCGTTTTGTGTGTTATTACATACACAAACCGTTGGTTGAGAAACATTAACATATTCAGAAACTACAGATTGAAATTGAAACTGTCCACATTCTCGGGTACATTTACCACACAAGAGGGTCTGGAAATTTGTCCTGCTCCCGTCATTAGTGCTATACAGTGTTAATGTGACTGTGCGCCCCCCCCCCTTGCAGTAGTATGCGTATTTAAGTGATTCGACATTCCCATGTTTTCAGGTCACAGAAAAATGCAGTTACGTGAATTGCTACAAAACCATGCCAGACAGTGCGACAACAGCAGCAGCCTAAATAAGTTTACATCTTCTGTACACCTACAGTAAAATACAAAGTGTCTCTGTACAGTCACGAAAGTATTCGCGAAATGGTTTTTCGGCTGCGGATGCAGTTTAAGAAACCATGGACTGAATGATCAGCTGTCGTTACAGACTACTGGAATCCATTCCTTTATTTTCCTTTGCTTTTGGGATGGAACCTCGAGTAGTCAGAACCCTGGAGTGGCTGGTAGATATACCAATTCCGTGGTGGATACCAGTTGCTACTATTAACATCGGAGATACGAAATATATAATAAATACTCAGCTGCAACAACATTATGTTCGTACCTAAGTCCAGAAACTTAGTTTATAGTAATTCGTACAATGAAAAATGCAAATTAACTCAGGAGTAAAACACTGACTTTTTCCACATACCGTTGCAGAATTGAAGTTGAAATTTCTATTACCTGACGTAAAGTTAATCTATTTTAAACATCTTTGCAGTCTTTCAATTTAATATATTAATTTGTATAAATGAATGTAAAAGCCTGAGAGTATCTCAAATATATATACTATAATTGTACGTACAACTCTTAATCTGTAGGCATCAACATTCTTTCTATAAGGTGAAATTAGGTGCACATGCAAGCTAACAATTGTACTTATTTGAAGTCAGACGTTCCAGACACCCTGAGTACGAATTTAATTTGCTATTATATTACAGAATTTAATAAATCATTGCTCAAAAGTTCCGTGGACTTCTTACCACTCTGATTGCCACCTGCTTCTTGCTGGTTTTTTCCTTATCTTAATTTCCTTACATTGAAGATGGAGGCAATATGTTCTAGCAAAACGTTGGATTTTCGGTCTACACGGCGTTACAACCAAGTATACAATACTCTTCGCAACAATTATTGTGAAAACTTCAAATACAGCAAGATTTCACCAAATTTAAAATCGCTTCTTAAAAAAGTTACTGGAAATTTTACTCCGAATGCACTTAACTATGCAAAACACTGCAGTGGATAACAATGCTCTACACCTAGAACGACGTCATTGTATTACATTCGTATTTTTAATTTACAGACATCTTGGAATATGATTTCCTTCCCTGATGGTGGACACCTCCATTGTCACCGCTACACTCATCACAACCAGGAACATTGCAACACAGATCTGTACTCGAACCAGAGGCCCCCGTGTTTCGATATGGGTTGAAGAACTGCTGTTCTGCCGTCTCGGCAGCGCCCGTCATGTAAAATGATGGTGACAATGAATTCGTGAATAATGCCGCAGAATGCGCGAAAGGAAGATGCGGAGCTTGAAACAAAAGGTCAGATGGTGGATAAAACATAGTGGACATGAGTCGGTTGGTCGTGGAGTTGCTACTTTGGTGATTCTGCAGCGCCAAGAGGGAAGACATCGTGGCTGCAAACGGCAGACTACTTTGGTGAGCTGTTGGTGGTGACAACATCGTTGAATTCCCAACAAAGAATTCCGGAGAAGGGGTTGAGTTACCGTGCTGACCGAAGCCGATAACTGATGAAGTACTGGAACTCATACTTAGAGATGTGGAAGGTGAAACCGGTTTGAAGGCTGACTTAAGTACAGTTGAGGAAGATCTGGGTGAATTCGCTATTTCTGCGCGTCTAAACTCTTCTTTTGTGCCTTCACAGCCGACGGCTGCTTTGTACGATGCTAAATACTGATGTAAGGCATTGCTGCCTTGAATATTTGCACTTCCGCTGGCAATGTTATGACATCCCTCTCTTGGAACTATTTCTTCTATTGCCTTCAAAAGATCATCGCCACATCGTCGTAACACTAGTTCCAGAACTGAACGCTTTTTGTTGGGGAACAGCCGAGTCAACATTTCCAGTGAACTAGGAGACAGTGTTGTTTTACTGTTCTGGTTGACAACAAGTTTGGGAGAAATAACTGGGGCGGAGAGCCTTGACCGGTTCTCTTCGGTGTCCGATTGTGGCTTTTCGGTTTCGGAGAGAGGATTGTCGGTGTCTGTGAGGGTTCGCAACGGATCCATGTTGGAGCCCCCTGATCCAGGATCGCCTGCTTCTGGTTCTTCATGGCAAGTCCCTAGGGGAACCGGTGACAGAGATGGTGAGTCGAGAGCAACATCTTCTTGCCCGGACGTGCCTGGTAAGTAGAAGAAAGAAATGTGTCGGTTAACACAAGTATCCTCATGAACTTTACAGGACTGATATTCTGAAGCTCCTAATTTTACAATTTACTATTTTGAATTGTTTCATTTTGGTCCGTTACACTATCAATCACAAAGTTAATAGAAGGTCCGTCGAGTGTAACAATTTGTAGGTCACTTTTTATTATTATTTCTGCCTTACATGTTTCGGTTTGACACAACCATCATCAGAGGCACTTGCTACAATTATGGAAACACTGTTACTCTTTTTGATGTTCACAATTTTGTTTGTCGTGTGGACGTTGCTACGATACGTTGACTGCAGTACTGCAGTACACAGCTCACAGCACACAGCACACAGGAACATATCAAACCATAAGCCATACAACCTCAAGCTGACGTCTCCCATCTTCGGGATGAATTAACAAGGAGGAGTTCAGCATTTTATATCAAATATTTTAACATTTTAGCATTTTAACTTAAAATAGGTTCGGATGAAAAGTGAGAACTTGAGAGTGTACTCAACTATCTTAGCATGTTTTGTGCCTTTACACGTCAACGTATCGTAGCAACGCCACACGACAAACAAAATTGTGAACATCAAAAGCAGTAACAGTGTTTCCATAATTGTAGCAAGTGCCTCTGATGATGGTTGTGTCAAACCGAAACATGTAAGGCAGAAATAATAATAAAAAGTGACCTACAAATTGTTACACTCGACGGACCTTCTATTAACTTTACAATTTACGTTTATTTATAATTTACGTTTTTATAATATTCACAAGTATTGTTCTAGGGTTTTATATTTTACCTATAACAATACATTCATTTTTTTTTAAAGTTATTCAGGTTGGACTAACAGTTATTCAGATGGACACATTGAGATGGTGATGCGATTGGCCTGTCTTGCCTAATAATATAAGGAGAGTAGGTTAATGAACAAATAATCACCAGGCCTATGTAATGTTCTCAAATCTCTGTGCCTTGTAATTAATAGATTATTTGTAAATATATATTCTGAGGTTTTCTTATGTATGAAATTGTTCATATTGTGGTCTTCCGGATTGTGACACCATTCAAACTTGTGGTGGCTACCAACTTTTCGGAGTAAAATGCTGTCTCCTTCTTCATGGCCAGAATGTGTAACAAGGATGCTTCCAGGTTATATAGGCAAGTTGTGAGGGCCTTCTTTAGAATCCAATTAGAGAATAAACCGACTGCATCGCCATATTACTAATTTCGGCACTGAAAATGGAACTGCATCCTCCTCTGAAACAATGGAATCTACGTGCAGGACTACGCGGATGGATCAAAGTGGCTCACGCCATAACACTTTCTGGCTTGCATTCGGGAAGTGAGCAGTTCAAAGCTTGGCAGTATCCAGATTATCCTGACAAAGATAATAATGATTTGCCTCACTCACTCCAACAAAATGCTAGCATTATAAGTCACGACAGGCCACGGCCGCTTTCTTCAACGTCTTCTCCAATTCACTGTCTGCTTTCTGCATCTAATCGTTCGACGCCGCACAGTCCGATTTACTGACAGCTCCTTTAAATTTACATTACCTACAATAATAAGACTACATGTTGTCAAAACGCAAACCTCAACCTGAAATATCCGTGAATCCTACAAGCAAGCAACTTGCTTCATCACACATTGCTATCACTGACGTCATGATGTGACACACACACACACACACACACATACACACACACGGCATCGCATGCGCTAGGCCAGAGAACGCGTAGCCGTGTTGATCAACAAACTGCCCATCTTCCTCTCATATTCTTCTGGGGTCGAGGTTAAAATTACGTAACGTTATAACTCTTCTCCCCCGAACTTTCTCATGGAATACTACCCAATTAAACCTAACTTCAACTTTACTTTCACTTTCTTTGCTTTAAAGATTCATTACCGTGTTCACAAGTCCCTCTACCCTACCCTATGCAAAGACAGAAGACTGAAGTCCACAGCCTCATACCCTGAAACTTTAAGATCCTTTTTATCATTATCCTGACAACTACAGCTATGTCGCGCACTGAGTCATTGGCTCGAGCGATAATGCTTCTGCCTTGGTTTTGAGAACTATCGAGTTTGAACCTTGGTTTGGGATTTTCCTCTGTCCCTCCATGCAAATATCGAAGTGACACTTTAAATTAGATAATGATCGTTTCCTTCCATATCCATACCAATTCAATATTTACTATCGTTAAATCATTTTCCGCTATAATTTTAATGGCTTATGTGACAATGTTAGAAGGAAAGAGAGACAGGATGGTATGGATTGGATAGATCTGGCTCAGGATAGGGACCAGTGGAGGGCTCTTGTGAACACGGTAATGAAACTTCGGGTTCCTCAAAATGCTGGGAAATTCTTGAGTAGCTGTAGAATTGGCAGCTCCTCAAGAAGGGCTCAGCTCCATGAGTAAGTAAGTTGCCAATGTTGCCTATTGTCCAGGACCTATAGAATCGAATGGTAGGATGATAGTGAATAAGGAATGAGATGCTATTCGGAGAGAAGAATTTGTGGCTTAATCTGAGGTGTTTTTGCTTTGAAGAACTGAGGATTACCACCGAAGAATTGAGTAAGTGTTGTCGTTACCCCAGGGGATGTTCGAAAAGCAAAGTTTCCGATTGAAAATTAAGGTGTCCCTGCTTCAACCAACTGTTGGACCTCGACACTCTGTTGGCCTAGTTACAGACAGCATCGTTACAGTAACTCTAACCCAAGCAAACCTGGATCACTTCTCTTTAGTCTGCTGACTAAATGTATTTTTCGTCTCTCAGGCCGCTATACTTGTGCTGTTCGAAACTGAATATAATATCCTTTCTTGAGTTGCAAAGTAATATGACTTACCCTGATCTTGGCTTTTAGGGGCGGTGATTGCCATGCCGAAGATTGGCCCTGGGGGCAGATAGCCATACTGTGTACCAGTAGCAACCGCTGTCAGACCCAGGGCAATCGCGTCTTCAGCCGCTTGCTGCCGCTTTAACGCTACCTGCAAGAAGAGCGTTCGTAACAACTGGATCATTTACAAAAGGCACTCATTCATTTAAAGTTTCGTTATGCGAAATGTTCCTATCAGATTAAAAATGTTGAAATTGCATGTGTACAGCCAAGTAAGCTGCCTCAAGCGGTAATGCTTCTGGCTTTTATTCAGGCGGTGCCTTAGTTGAATTTCGACTTTGACACCGACCAACCTGAGAGGTTGTACGCAGTTTTCGGCGGCTATTTTGGCAAATTTCAGGACAGTACCTCAAGTTAGGCCACGACCACTTCCTTCCACATAGGCCTACTTTCCAATTTATTGCTCAACACTCATTCTACAATTCGACGGNACACGGTGCCAAATCCCAGAAGACTGCTTTCTTCTTCGACGGCATATAGTCTGAAGTACTGATATAATCCTTAAATAAAAATAAATACTATAGGCTTACGAATGCAGAACACCATGTAGGATCGCATAGATATATTTATTATTCTAGGGAATTATTGTGTCATATGTTCTGAGGGAAGAACATATTTTGGCATGTAGATCCGTTCGCTAGGCAACGACCGTGAAATAAACAACTATGCAACATCCATTGCTACGTAAATGTTCCGCAAACAAATGTGTTTCCATGGCAATAATTGCACTGCAACAGAAGAACTGTGTTTTCCACGCTGTCCGTGCCGAGATGTCATAAGCAGGGTCAGTTAGCTGTTGCAGTGAGTCAGTCTGTTAGAGAGTTAGAAGACTGCTGCGGGTTCTGTCGTTGTGAGCTATTGCTGTTAGAAGATGGTAGTTGAGGCCCGGGGACAGTTCGAGAACCCAGAGGATGGGGAACATCCACTGTTGGAAGCCGCTACCAAGCAACGACAGAGAAGACGTGACTGTGAACACTTGTGGGTGTGTGTGTGTTTGTGTGTGTGTGTGTGTGTGTAACAGTGTACTGTAAAAATAGTTACTATAGGATTCTGGCGATGGTGTATAACACACTGATATATTGGGTTTTTGGATTTTATCCATCGTCCTGGTTTTTAAGATAACAAATAAAAACACGACGTTTCGGAAACTGGATCTGTTTCCGTCCTCAGGTGAAGGAAAACACCTATTCAGTTGGGTCCGTTAGAAAGAGCTAGCCTCAATGATTGAGGCTAGCTCTTTCTTCACCTGAGGACGGAAACAGATCCAGTTTCCGAAACGTCGTGTTGTTATTTGTTATCTTAAAAACCAGGACGATGGATAAAGTCCAAAAACCCAATATATCAGAGTGCACTGTAAAGTGCAGTCACGCGATGTTTCAAAGATTTCAATAAATCCGGTCATCAGTCTAAAACCAGTATATAGTCACTAAAATCGTGACAGCGTATTGAGAACAGGATACTGAGGATAATATGAAGAGAAAGTAACTGGGGGATGGAGAGATTTCAATAAATTTGCTTTCATAACTTTCACTTATCAGAAAATAATATTAGAAATATGAAACCAAGGAAGATGAGGTAGAGGGATCAAGTAGAACGAATGGTAAAAATTATCTTAAGGCAAATTATTCGGAAAATCTAAATTAATCAGACAACATGGGTGACTTAACGTACACGGCAGGACCATATTGGAGAAGCGCCCAGTTGTGTCCTCTTGTAGATACGAAAATAAACCTTCCGTTTCCATAAATATGGCGACCTATTGACCATCTGAGCAACTACTAGCTGTCAAGAAGGACTCCACTCTATGGAGATAGTTTTAGTTCTAATAATTTAAACACGGGGGATATTCTTAAGAACTGGACATGTAAAACGTTTGTAAAATAAGTAGGAAAGGTGATGAACTACTAATCGCATTTGTACATACCAAGCGGACACAACTTATTCTGCTTCGTAGAATTTCCAGTTTCTGTGTAGCTCTGAACTTTTCAAGATGTCAATAGCTAACGTCTCGTTTCTCATCCCCCAGAGCTGCATCACGGCATGGCTAATGGAAAACCTTCACGAGAAGCCAGAGTAAACAGCAGAGTTTTCTAACAAGAGTACTATTGGTAATGATGTCTGGCTTACATTGGTGACATCGAAACTTTATATCCCCATCCAAACCCTCATTGTGGCTCTCGTTTCATGAGAATTAGCACAGCTTAGACAAAGGCATCAATCAAGTGAATGATGTGTTTGCGTGGTTACTGTTTCAAACATAGGGTGTTCTGGAGAATTATTTTGAGTCGATATCTCTGATACACCTCGTTCTAAGAGCGGCATCTGTCGAGGAACGAGCATATCTCAGTGTTTCGGGTTAAACGGAAAATTCACTTCTGCAGCAAATGACAAATACCACCTATGGCAGATATAGAAATATTTATTTTGTGCATCCTGGTGTGTTACTGAAACAAGGTGTAAGGTGGCCTCCTACACAGTAATTGGTAAGGATGTTAATAAAATCTTGGCCGCGCCATAGCTCAAGCGGTTAGTCGCTGGCTTCCCACCGCGACGGACCCCGTTCGATCCTGGGTCTGGTCACGTGGGATTTGTGGTGGACAAAGTGGCGCTGGGGCAGGTTTTCTCCCAGTACTTCGGTTTCCCCTGCCAAACTTCATTCCACCAATTACTCCACAATCACCCTCACCTATCATCTGGGGCTGGTACAATAGGCCAGAAGTGGCCGCAGTACAAAGGAATAATAAAATCTAACAACAATTAATAGGAGGCCAATATTAATGTGTACTGTTGTTATTCTATATCATTAGACGTTTCACTATGAAAAAATTGATCCAATTTAATTGGCAATTCAGTGATTATGTAATTTATTTATTGACCACCTGATTATAATTTCTACTATGGAACCATGTAGCGGTAAAAACCCCGTAATGACCTCAGATTAGTTTTATTCAACTTTATGAACATCATTAACGATTTCTGTGTAAACAACCGCCTTCTACCTTGAGATACTGCGGTGTGAACAAATTTCCAGGAAATTTAATGATGTCGTAACTTCATATGCTACGTAGCTTAGATTAATGGTTTTTAACTAACCAACTAAATAAATAAATAATTAAATAATTCTATGGAGCTGAGCTCTTCTAGAAAAGCCACCATTCGCTCAACTACTCAAGAACTTCCCAACATTTTATGTAACTCAGACGTTCATTTCCGTGTCACAAGAGCTCCCCAGTTGTCCCTGCCCTGAATAAGCTAAATCCAGTTCATGTAACCCCAAATTATATGATTCATTTTATTATTATCATCCTACTTAACGTCTATACCTTCCTAGTAACTGCTTTCCTTCGGGATTTCAATCCAAAATTCTATTTGTATTTCTCCTCACCTCATTCGTGATACATGTCCTGCCTACCTCATCCTCCTTGACGTGTTCTAATCTGATCCTAATTTGTTTCCTAAATTATTACTGTGTTTGAAGAGGACTGTATGTTTCTTTAGTATAGTTTCAATTAGAGTTATCTCGAACTTGCAAGACCAGATCCAGTTTGCTGCTAATCTTAATCACTTGAAGCAACAAAACAAAATCGAATTAAAGGAAACCAGATCCCCTACTCAGTGATGTTCTTACACCGGCGTAGCATAGGCTGCTCAGTGTTGCACTGTCTTCTTATGCTCCGGCCACTATTTCGTTTCACAGGTAAAAGTAAAGAAAGGTGTTTTCCCAATGCTTAATTCATTAATTAATATGCCATGAAGACGTATAGGGGAGTGAAGGTATAGCTCCACCATTCTTGACTTAGGCACTAAGTTGGGGTGAGGTGTCAGCTTCACGCCCCCGTCGCTTTAGTTCCGGGAAAGAAGTCTTGGTACCCATTAGATAGGAGGCTGTGTGGGCTCCAGAGACGGTCTGGAAGCCATAGAGATAAGAAAAACTTACTCTTGCTGGGAACCGAACCCCGGCTGTCCAGCTCATTGGCCGTCGCTGTGCTGATTCAGCTTATCTCGGCTCCTGTTTTTCAGGCTTGACAGTAAAAGTTAACGATTCTGTGCCTATGTTCAATGCACGGATGTTCGGTTTACCACATTTCACCCTTAAGGACATTATAAAATATGTGATCATAAATTTTTCAACACGGACCACAAATTAATTGTCACGAAAATTTAGGGTAAATAATTAAATCTATAAGACAATATGCAAAAGAAAAATGAATCAATTTTAATTAATTTCATTAAAAAATAATTATTTCTTAAGAAATTCAGACAGATCCTCTATGCACATGTTTCCGTGACGTAACAAGATTTGTAACTGGCTACCGGCAAGCTTATCCTCACGCATAATTGTCCTGGATTAATGTCTAGTACAGTGGTTACTACTCCCATCTTATTTACATTGCTCTTTTCTTCTTGAGCTATTTTAAATTTATTTATTATACTTATTATTATTATTATTATTTTTGACTGGCTACCGATCACAGGGGCCGCACGGTTTATGACATGAACTGTCTTCACTCGCTTGAACACTGGGATCGTGTATTCGAATCCCACTCGACGTATGCATGTCTGTGTTTGTGTGTGTTTATTCTACGTGTATGTTTGTGTTGTCCTGTATGTAGGTCGCGGCCTTGGGACGGGCTGTCCACTCTTCCAAGGAGTCCTACCGTCTGTTTAAGAAAGATTCCGAAACTGAAGAAGAGGTCAGGACCCAACAAAGGGCTGCAGAACCATTGATAAATGAATGAATGGATGGATGTAATATATTATTACTAAAATTTAGACTGAAAAGATTTTCTTAAGAACTCATATATTTTTGTAACATGGGATTCAGTGGAATAAATATGGTTCATGTGACAGTGTTTCATAAAACGGAATTATTTTCGGGAACAAATCCATTCCATAACGTGAGGTCGTGCTGTATCATGCCAAAAAAGGAAGTCCAAGACCTCAAATATAGGGCTGTACGTTTTTGTGATCCCGACATTACAAAGAGGCTAATTATCGGGCTTACTGTCAGTCAGATTTTTTTTTTCCACTTGGCACTACAGCCCCAGTGGGCTTAGGCCTACCTCCATGAACTTCTCCGTTTACTTCGGT